AAGGGATTTACCCTTCCCAGTCATTATAATTTATCTGCTACACACAAGAGAATAATCTCTCAATATCCTTTTAAAGTGGGATAATTTATACTTCATCAAATGATTATGGTATTCAGTTGGGAAACCCAACAATGCCTACCAATCATGGGTGGAAAACAATCTACTCTATGAATTCCTCCTTGAAAATCCTACCCAGCTTCCCTTTTGTGTTGCTATTGTTCCATCTCTGTAGCCTGTGACTATTCTGATCGATGTGGCAGGGTGCCTGCTTTACTGTCCTGGCTATGACCAGGTAAATTTTACCTACCTCAGCTTAAGTAGGAAGAGGATATTATAAGGCCAACCAAGGCCTTTGTAATCACAGGCTAGCACTGAGTATAAACATAAGACTTCTATCAGTATGAGGGTGGAGTGCAAAACAGGTAGTACTGGCCCCTACACCTGATATGCCACCTTACTGCTCTACATTAACCATGAGTCAAACAGTAAGTTAGGAGTACAGGAGAAGGTTAAGGCTGAGATCTCCATTCTGTATTTTTCTGACTGGATCTTCAATCTACCTCAGATTGATATACAAACTGAACACATACCCAAGTTAGAACCTAGCACCTCTCAGATAAACTATCAAAAACATGAGGGTCATCAGTCAAAATCATTCTAAACTTCATGGGAAGGGAAGATGCAATAACTAAACAAATATTCATTTATTAACAAATATTTATTATGCAATACTCCTAGACAAAGAAAGAGGTATTCTTTCAAACTTACAATCAATTGAGCAAACAACTACAGAAAGGTGAGTCATATTTTCTACTCTGGCGAAGGGCAGAATCAATAGGTAGCTCTTTACTACTTAGGAAATAAGTAATTTTTATATTCTATTTGTTTCTCACTATTCATGAACATATATTATATTACCATTTATTGTTTTTACAGTGAGAAATATATTTGGTGCTTTTTATCAAAACAAAACTTGATAGATGATAGTAGGTTGCTTTCAAAATTGAACAAAGATAAACACATAAGATGGCATGGTCTTGAGGTCATTGTACTAAGTGACATAAGTCACACATAGGACAAAGACTGCATGAGTCCACTTACATGAAGTATCTCAGTAGTTACACTGATAGAGTGGAGTGGAGGAATGGTGGTTGCCACGAGCCAAAGAAAGTAAGAAACAGAGGGTTCCAAATTCAGACCTCCTGTACAACATTGTACAATAATTTCTTCTATGCTTAAAAATGTGTTAAGAGGGTGTAGCTCATGTAAAATGTTCTTAACACAATTTTTTAAAAATAAAGATAGTGTGGAAGAATTTAATGCATTCATACAGGATTGGATCTGAAGCTATATGGTTCATATTTTATTGATAACACTAAGGATTGTGTTATAAATTATCATATATAACAATAAGAAATTCACAAATTAAGGCTTTTAAATGGCCAATAAATACATGAAAATAGGTCGAAATCTTAAATCATCAAGGAAAAGCAAATTAAAAATAACAAGATTCTGTTCAGAAACAGAATGGCTAAGATAAAAAAGATGAAAAAGAATACATGTTGGTGAGCAAGAGGAAGTAATAGGGACATTGCTACCAGGGATAAAAAATGGTACCACCACTGTGGAAAAACAGATCTCCAGTTGTTAGAAAGTTAAATAAACATTCATCCTATGACCTAGAAACTTTGTTCTTCACTGCCTACCAAAGAGAAGTTAAAACAAATGTTCAAAGCAACACTTGTGCATGACTGTTTAAAGGCACACAATTCGAAATAGGCAAAAACATATAAACAACCCAAATGTGCATTTCGCTAATGAATTGTGGTATATTCATATAGAAGAATACTACTGAGCAACAGAAAATAACACTGATACATGAATGACCCTCACAAACATTGTGTTAAACAATAGAAACAACACACAAACGTTTGATACTATATGATTTTTGGTATGAAATTTAGAAACGAAGAAAATAAGTTTACTGAGATGAAGAACATAAAGTTGTTGCCTGGGGGTAAGAAACTAGCTGGAAACAACCATGTGTTTTATTACTGTAACTTTTAAAAAGGGATGTAGGATCTAACATATAGTGTTTCCCATTGTTCAGAGATGGGACAATTCGAACATGGAAAAGAACAATATCTAGAATGGACTGAAACTCATCTAATATACAAAGCCAAGAGATGGAATTGAAAAAATTTATTCACCTCTCAAGGTTAGAGAGCATTAGTTCATTATTCTGAAGGTAGGTAATGAGAGAGTATTAAGTGCACCTCTCCTTTACAAACTGAATTTCTAGTGCCTAAGCCTTGAGCTTTCTGGGTTTCAGAGTAAGTGGACACTATTTCTATAATAACCAAGTGCTGGACACTCTTTTGAGTCTTATTTCTACTCAAAAAAGCATTTCAATGCTATCTAACCTAGGTGACCAGCCCACTATTACAGAGATTGTTTCCCCTTGTCTTCAGTTCCTCTCTTAACCCTCTATTACTTCATGATCCTGGTGCCCACCTTGGGTGATGCCTCCTAAGGCCCCACAGCCCTGCATCCTCCCATGCCTCCCAATGGGTTTTTCTACCTTACTTGCAACACTTCCACCCTTCTTTCCTTTGGCTCTATGGAGCAGAGGCAGCTGGAAGATGAGGGCAGGACCTGGTATACATCTGGGTCTGTTCAGGCATTTCTAGGGCCCTGGCTTCATGAGGGACAGATGTAGTCCTGAATGTCCACTGGTGTCCAGACACAGTGACAAGAAGCTGTACCTCAGGCCTTGCCCTTCCTTGGCCTGAGCAGTGGGGAGAAGGTGCCAACCTGCTTTTCCTTCAGCTCCACCCCTCTATAAAGCTGTTTGTCTGCTCCCATTGCATTAGTCTTCATTTCTTTCACTCTAAATGTATAAATATTTCATATTGCTTTCAACTGGAAAAGGTTCTTTAAGAATTCGTGTTTTATTGCAGAATTACAGGAATTTACATGGTAGATATATATGCTAAATAAATAAACAAATGAGAGCAAGGCAAGCAATGGTCCACAAATTAAGTGTTAGCTTTTTAAAACCTGAATATTTTTCCTATTTCATTATGAAACCTTTTTGTTAAAAATATAATTAAGAAGACTCAAGTGCAGCCACCTGTATCCAATTAGTTTTACTAGTTAGGTGTTGGCTTTAATGAGCTTTGTTCCAAGGGTTAAATTCCCACATGAGGCAGTCAGTTTCACTCATCTCCCTATTAGCAGCTCTACTCTTACCCGGGCCATCTGTGTCCCATGGAACCAGAGTGTGAATCACTGCAAGTGCATCATTTCAAGCAGAAAAATCAATGAATAGTACATTGTTTTGTTGAACATCTTCATATATAGACAAAACTTTGTTAGACAAGTTATAGAAATCTTCTTGGAAGGTTTCAATAAGATTACATATAAATGGGTTGTAAAACACTATACATGATGATTTTGAAATTAATAACTGTAACAGCAAGATATTATGGTATTCACTTCTTAAATCTAGTGATCAGTTTTGCTTTCAACTGAAAGGAAAACTGCTCATATCATCTTTTCTGTTAGTGTCTGCCCCAATCCAATAAAAATAATCAATATAGGAATCAATATAGGAGTCTTTTTCACAAATGTCCTAGATCCTATGATCAAGGAAAAGTTAGAAAGAGTGCATTAATAAAATTTCATGGTTCTTCTTCTTATTATTATTCACAAGCTACACCTATGATTAGGGAAATACTACTCAACACCAGGCTACAGATCTGGAACAAACAATACCCCAGTCGTAATCTGAGTCTAGTGGGTTATTATACCCTTATCTGAAGTAATGCTCACAACACTTTTTAACAACACAAATTTGAGTATTTTTCCACACATTGCCCACTTCAAGTCTTAGCGAATACTGACATATAGAACTTGCGAAGTTACAAAACAAAAGAGCAGAAATTGTTATAAATATGTTACCTCCCAAGCTGTAGTACTACGGTATTTTTGATAAAGTAGCCAGTCCCCAGACTGATGTCAGAGGAAACAAGCTTTCCTTCTAGTGAGCAACAGCTGCTTTCAAAAACCATCTCCAGCATGAGAACCAGAAGTTAAATGTGCTGATGCCACAAACAAAAACACCTCATTTCAAAATATGTACGCTTAATGCACACCAAGGGTATATTATATCATAGTATTTCATTCTGTTTTCACAGCAAGTAGGAGATTTCTCAAAACACACACATTTTAATATATCCAATAACACATATGATAGAGATGGAACTACATTTCATAGCTAGTTTACTTATATCTGCACTACAAGTTTTTGTGTTTGCAAAGGGTATGAAATACAAATGTGGCCAGATTTTAAAATGTCTTTCCATTGAATACATTTTCTCATCTATAAATCGTTCATCATGCAAGGGTCAGGAAAATCAGAGAGTACAAAGAAAAAAATCATTAAGAAATAAGCAATCTCCTTAAATACATGTATGCATAACTCAGAAGTTACTGAGTTAAAGTAATTATCCAGGACTTTACTCGACACTAATATAAAGTCCCATGTCGTTTACAACAGGATATAGATGCCTTTTACATGAGACCAGTTCTTAGTCATTTAAAGAGTTTAAAGAACAGCTTAAATTGCCATTTGAAGTTTTATTTTAGCCAATGTTCTGGTCCTCACAAATACTGATGCTTGATAATGTTACTAAATGAAGCTTTGACGTACTAGAATAAGGGTATTTAAAATTAGAATAGATGGGCCTAATTCTACTAAGAGAATCCACTGAAAGCAAGAAACAACACATCATGGTTAAATAGCTCTCTTGCCTTCCCTCCCTCCCTTCTTCCCTCCCTCCCTTCTTCCCTCCTTCTCTCTCTCTCTCTTTCTCACTTAGCTGATTTTCTATGAAAAGTCTGAGGGAAAATTAACAGTGTCCATTTACTGAGAAGACAATAAAACAAAAAGTGCAGAAATTAGAGGTACTAGACATAGTGGCTAAACAAAAGCATACCTTTCTCTCTCTCCTTCCGTGAGATCATATAAGCGATTGGCACCTCCATCAGCACAGGCTCTTAAAAGAGCTTCAAATAAAAAGAACACAAATCATTTCAATACAGGCAGTAGACAACAGAATTTTTCAAATGATAAATATCAAAATGAGACACTCAGACCCACAAACCATAACATTAACCTCCTTGGATTATTATATTCTCAGTTATTGAGACTATTAGTACTAAAAGAGATTCTACATAGCAAAGACAATGCAAATAAAATCACCTACAGACTCAATCGATTTCCTTGCTTTGTTCCTCTGATTCACTGCAGGAGGACACTGTATAGGGTGCAAGCATGTCTTCATTTCCTGAAATGTGTTTTTCTTCCTTCATAACAGAAGGTGACTGCAGGCTCAATGATAGGCAACAGGATACCGTTACTGTGTTTCCCTCTTCCTTAGATTCCTACTTTCTTTTCATGGCAGGCATTGTGGATTTCCATTTTTAAATTGTGATTTACAAGTTTCTTTAAAAAGTAAATCACAAGTTTATGTTAAAATATAAGTAAATAATCATCGAGATAATGAAAAATTGTGAGGTTGGCATAGAATTGACTGAAACTTGGAAATGCTAAGGCAACCAAGTGAAACCTGCTGTCTTTGGACTTTTATCTCTTTCCTCCTTTGCTCTGCAATTTGATGCTAAGGATCAATCACTCCTTGATGTTTTCTCAGTTCATGCAATGCTATCTTTGTTGGTGCCATCTCAGTCGTCCTACTAATGTTGCAGTGCATCTTAGCATCAGCTCAGAATGAATACTAGTAAGTCTTAAACCAACAGGCACTTGGCAAATATCTTCAACCTGCACAAAAAGGCTGGAAGTCCCACTGATTAAAGCCCTTAAAGGAACTGATTCACAAAGTGAGAAGCTGCACTATTTTTCTTTGAAATTAAAATTAATGACATAGGTTACTGGAATTGGAAAAGAAGAAAGCAAAGGGGAACTTTCTATGTATTTGTGTCTTCCTTGGGTGTTTGAACCAAAATGGTTCAGGTAAGCAACAGAATCTAAAAAAAAAAAAAATGTATTTTCATTCTTTTAGAAAGTATGGTACTGGTAAATTATCACTGAAACAAAAATCCACAGTGGACATTTTTTCTAAATAAAACCTACTCACCAAAATGAGTTATCTTAGAGAAGTATTTGAAAAAGGGAAAAATCCTTTTCTAAAACCCTTACCTTCTCATGCAACTTTACCACATATCTTCCCCATGAAACTGTAAAGCACATTCAGAGAGACTCTTTTTGGGATAAATAACTTTGTTTGGGTTCAACCTCAGTCATGAATAAAGAATTAGCTGAATGCAATATTGTCAACTGGTAGTCAATTTGACTATATTAATATGTTGGCTTCTGATTGCCACTGGTAGGCTAAGAATTTCAGAAGGCTGCTATCAGTCTAATTCCCCTGTATCAAACCTGTGCTCTCTATGGCTCCTTTGTCTTTGGTGTTTTGAATTTCAGTTATCATGTATTCTTACCTGGAATTAGTTGTGCCTCCTAAGTCTGTCTTTATTCAGTTTTGGATAATTCTGAGCCTTTTTTACTCAATTATTTCCTATATTCTATTCTCTCTACCACCTCTCTCTAGGAACTTCACTGAAATATAATTTTAGACAGTCTCGTTCTGTCCTTCACCTTTCTCAGACTGTTTCATTCCTGTCATCTCTTTTTTTATATGTGGATAATTTCTTTTACTTAGTCTTTCACTTTATAAAGTCTTTCTTCAATTATGTCTGAGCACCTGTTAAGAACACTAAAATTTATACTTTTTTTGATTCTTTTTAAAGAAGTTCTATTTGGTTATTTTTTTAGTCTCAAGGACTTTTCTGATATTCTGTTGTTAATATTTTCAATCCTTTTTTTTTAAAAGAAAATATTCTTTCCTCAGTGGTTTCAGATCCTATGTGTAGGACTGGGTAAAGATATGTGAGATTTAATGGGATGTTAAGGAGATTTCTTCACCTTTAATGGACCAATGGCTTGCCTCCAAAGCTGCACCACCCACCACCATAGCTATAAAATCACAGCCACTAAATCAGGAAGATAAGAAAATGCCTTGGGCACTAGTAACTCCAAAGCTACCCTTTGAGCTACTTCTTCATTTTATGGCACTCATAAAATCATTGTATTTTTTACAAATTTTAGAGTGTTTAAAATACACTTAAGAATATTGTTATATTTAAGAATGTTTAAAATATTTAGCTCTAAATTTTGAAATATTAGTACCAGGAGAGCTATTGTAAATAATATGTAAAGGCCCATATTGGTGGAAAGAACAGCCTAACTTACTTGCCCACTAATCTACAATGTGTACAACTATTTTCTATGTTCTATGTTATATCAGAAAGAAAAGAGGCACAGTGAAAAAAATACATTCCTATTTTGCTTAAGCTTTCTCATCTGTAAGTAAGATTAATATTACTGACAGAATAGTAGTATTTAGTGATCAGTAGTTTAATAATTATATGTAGTGATACTGGAACATGAGTATTCAATAAATAAAAGTGCTCTTTGTCCATTTCTGTGAACGTGAACATAAAATCTAAAAGCCTATGTTCTTGGAAAAGAAAAGCCTATGATACATAGAAAGCACAAAATGAAAACAAGAGTTTTTGTAAAGATAACAAAGAGGTAGTGTCATTTTACTGACCACCCACAACACATTATAAGGAGTGGCACCCCAGTTCAAATTATGTCATAAGCAAAACTCACCAAAGATCATAAACATATGACACATTTCTTACATATCAAAATCATCAAAAACTAAGACTAAGAAATAATATAAAATATAGCATAAAACAACAATCAGGGAGACTGAACAGGCTGATTAATAGAAACAGATGTTAAACTATTAGTAATTACCCTCAGAATATATAAACCAATTCTTTATAAACAAAATGAACAAGTATATGGGGTCTTTCTACTTAAAACCTGATTAATTGAAGTAATATAAAAAACTAAGAAATTTTTTTTGTGGCTAAAGATTAGAAAACAGAAGGACTTGTCAATTTTTCAGATTGTACAGCTTAGCAAAGATTGGTTAATTCAACATTTAAATCTATGGAGGGATGGGGATGCAGCTCAGTGGTACAGCAGTGTCCTGGCGTACGTGAGGGCCTGGTCTGGATCCCCAGCAACACGATAGATAGATAGATAGATAGATAGATAGATAGATAGACAGACAGATAGATAGATAATACAACCTTTGCTTCTATTATTTTGCAGGCTATAAAGAGAATAGAAAGATGAACAACAAGCAGATCCAGCTACCCAGGCTTATATTATAAGGGTAAAAATGTTAACAGGATCAAATGTGTGTGATGTGGTGAGTGCTACACCAAGTGCAATGCGCAGACAAGGAAAAGGGATGAATTTCAATGGAAAAATATGTAAAGCTGCTTATTAATAAATTAACTTTAATAATCAAAAACTTTTTCTAATGCTTGTTATATTTAAACATCTTTAAATCGATACTTTAAAAGTAGTTTATGAAAAGAAAAACACATAAAGTAATTAAATTTGTCTACAACTATTCCTGTTTTAAATGGAAAAGAAGCTGAAATAACCATGATGAAATTTATAGACTACTCTTTTGTTACAAACAAGTTGGGAGTAGGAATTCATTCCCTCTGAAAGAAAAAGCAAGCTTCATTCTATTCCTAAAACTACTTTGCTTGCCATATACCATCACAAAAACACATGTTCTACCTCTGCTGTAATTTAACAAAACTGTTCTCACCACTTTCATTTTTTAAATATTTAAATACAACTGCAATTGAATGAAATCTTTCAAACATATAGTGAATAATGCTGGCATAAGTTTATACACAGCAATTTTAAGAATGTGCAAACAAATAGTTTAGAACAACTAAAAGGTGCCAAAGTAGAGAACACTCTAAATTAAGATATTTTGGATAAATTATAATTAATATGCCTCAAAAAGTTCATTCGTCATCATTTAAATTGTCCAAAGCATTACTGCATGAATTATCTTTTAATGGAAAAAATTCCTTTGGCTTATACAGCAAAATTTTTGCAGCATTGTCAAATATGGTAACTTCAATGGCTGAACAATTACTTACTATGCATCTGGTTGATAAACTGCTGTAGACTATATTTAAAATCTCTATAGTAACATTATATTTTAATAATACCAGGAAGTAGTTAAAAACATCTTAAGGTAACAAGTTTTTTTTTTTAAACTTGGTATAATATTAGATAACAATTCTGACAAAAAGTAAAGAGCTCCAATTTACAGTTACAGATAACTTGGCTATTTAAAAACTTTCTATTGAATAAACCTGAACAGAAATAATATGACTAATTACAAAGTAGACAGCTGATCTACAGTACTTATGTGGAAAAAAACATAAAATAAAATTGAAGAACAATTTCTGGAAGTTTTAGTTTTAAACACCAGAAACAGAAGATTTCAATTCTGGCCTCTATCAGGCACTTTTAAGCCAATCCCAAACATCCAAATTCTGATGCAAAACCAAGATCATTATATATGTTCTACCAAAGTCTCAAAAGATTCTTAGGGACTAGAAAAAGAGAGTAGATAAAACAAGAAGGGGAGTACATAAAGAAAAAAATGTCTAAAGTAGCTGATAAAAAGATAATTTTGATAGATAATCTGGTAGACTTATGAAAAATTCAAATGTATACACTCTTTGATTCAGACATTCTATGTAGACTACATAAGTAATTGCCAAAGTTACAAGTGAATATGTACAAATTAAAATTATATAAATTTTCAATTTTATACATAAAATTACTGTATAAGTTTTTGGCAAACTTTTATGTATATATGGCTTATATATGGCTATCAGTGAATATTCATAACTAAATTATGTGGCCCTAATATGCAATTATCAAAAACATAGCTCTTGTAAGTATAGTGTTATCTTTTATTATATCTTGTTATACAAAACTCTTGCATGGATCTTCCATACAAAAAACGTATAGGAGTATGCCAAATTTAAGAAAACTAAGGATCAAGTAAGGATTTTTTTGTCAAGAT